ATAGCAATGAAAAACTGTACAATCTTTATAAATATTATTGTTGCTTATAGTCAAGAGTATTGGGAAAGCCTACATAAACATTATATGTTCAGAGAAAAACATGTTGCTGATTATTGCTTTTCTATTTATGCTGATAAGGCATAACTATGAATTTCTATTGCCTGGTGTCATTCCAATTATAAATATACATCTTTTTGCCTATTTTTATTATCTTGGATCTTTCAATGTTCATTTTATTAGCCATAAAGAACAGCTTGTTAAGAATCTTGTTTTCTTACTTGCTCATTATGGAATAATATGGATCTCATGCTCAAGCATGGCATGTGCTTTGCCTGTTTTGCCAGTTGCTCTCTGGAGCTTAACTGCTGAGATAAAAAAAACCCAGTGCTTTTGAATTTATAGTATTTTCCAATAAATTACATGGTATGGAATGGTTCGTTCCTAGATACTATACCGAAAATTTCAACATAAATCCATGTAATGCAGCTACATCAGACATTTATCTTTGCAGATCCCTGCAAACCTAATTAAATTTTTCTCAAGGAACAGATGAAAGCTCTGGTCTACCAGCTGTGGGTCTTTCTCATCTGGGATACTTTGCAATGGAAACTCCTGCCCTCATCATCTTGTTAATGGAATTTGCATGGGCTTTTAATGAATATTAATTCAGAAGCTGCAACTAATTCAAAATAGGAGACCTGGGTTGGGAGTAGATTTAGTAGTGTTATGCCTCGTGCTAAAGTCACTGCCCTGGCTACTAAGAGATTTCTAGATTCAGTTCAAGGTGTTAGTTTTCTAGCCTACATGAATACTCTCTTCTGACCTGAATCAGCCTTTTGAGGAACTACTTCAGATTTCTTTGCCACCTAAGGTAAAAAGCGGGAGCCTGGAGTTTCAAAGTTTCTAAACTTCCACATTATGGAATATCTTGCCCTCCAGTATGGAGCTCCCCACCTTGCTTGCATTTTGATGTTAAGACCAACCTATTTTGATAATCTTTGGTGCAGATGGTAGAGCACACTTGTAATGGTGTAATTGTCTAATTTTCTTAGATTTGGATGGATATTTTTTCAAGCGAAAGAAAGGAAAATACAGTAATATTTTATTAATAAGAATGTATAAAATTGGTGGCAAACTGAATAGCTTACCCTATTTATTCTTAATGCATTTAAGGCACATAAAATGCAAACCATTTACAGTATTCCAGTTGGAAAATGATGAAAACTTTTTATTCCAGCAGAATGCAATTCCCTCGGAACATTTTGGATAGGGCTGGTTCTGTTGAGTTTGAGGTATGATTATTTTTTTATTCACGCAATGTATGAACTGGGAAGGAATGCCTGCCATTCTAGGGATATTGAAGTCTTTATCATTGTTATTTTCTTTTGGGGAAAGACAGAAGTGACAAAGCAGTAGTAGTCAAGAGTACAAGTCACAAGCAAAAGAACATTTCCACAGAGATCTGGGAAAAATCCAAGTGAAATCTGGAGAGCCTTTGCCAGTTGGTGTACACAGTTCTGAAATTGACAGTTCAATAACTTGGAAATACAGTTTCCCATACAGGAAGTCCTTGACTTACAACCATTTGTTTAGTGACCGTTTGAAGTTATAATGGCACTGAAAAAAGTGACTTACGACCATTTTTCACACTTACAAGCCTTGCAGCATCCCCACAGTTATGTGATGAAAAAATGTGGCAACTGACATGTATTTATGAAGGTTGCAGTGTCCTGGGATCATGTGATCACCTTTTGCAATCCTCTGACCAGCAAAGCCAATGAGGAAGCTAGATTCACTGAACAACCATGTTAAAAATTTAACAACTGCAGTGATTCACTTAACAACTGTGGCAAGGAAGGTCATAAAATGGGACAAAACTCACTTAACAACTGTCTCGCTTAGCTACAGACATTTTGGGCTGAATTATGGTGGTAAGTCAAGGACTACCAGTAGATTGTTTCAATGATCCCAGTTCGAATTATCAGACCACCCAACAGGAACAAAATATTCTCAGTCACGTCAAACACAAGGCTGGATACAGCTCGCGATTGGCTGATATTTAGCCTGCGGGGATGCCCCAGAGATAGTGAGGGACTGGCCCCAGCCAACCCGGCAGCCCCCAAGGTGTGCGCACAGGAGGTGGTGAGCGTGCAGGGGCTGCATAGCCTTCTGTGAATACCGGCCCGGCCCTCCAGCAGCAGCACTGTGATGGCAACGGCAGCACACGGAGTCATGGGGGGTGGGGTGCATGTGATGCGGACTGCCGGCCACACCTACTCTGTCCCATCTCTTTTTGATTGGAGAGCAGGTCGCCACTGGTCATCTCCTCAGCTCCCTTGCGGGTCTTACCCTTGGCCCGCAGGTGGAGTGCATTCCCCTCGCACACCTCGGTACCCACCGCAACAGCTCACGCAGGTCCATTAGGCTGCAGCCCGGAGCAGCAGGCCTACCCCAACATGAAGGAGGTGAGGCAGTCAGCTAGGAAGCCCCAAGTAGAGGTGGTAGAGCACACCCTGGGCCAGCAGAGATGGGGGGAGGCATGCAATCCTGGCTGTGACTGTGAGGCCATGGCGTCGATGGGGATCCGGCTTTCCCGGCTCGAGGTAGCCTTTAGTTTGCTGGGCATGGGCGTGCTCTACCACCTCTACTCGAGCTTCCTAGCTGGCTGCTTCACCTCCTTTGTGCTGGGTTGGCCTGCTGCTCTGGGCAGCGACGGCAGCCTAATGGACCTGTGTGAGCTGCTGGTGGCGGCGGCCTGAGTTGGAGCCAAGGTGCATCTGGTGCGCGAGGGAAACAGGCTCCACGCGTGGGCCAAGGGCAAGATCTGCAAGGGGGCCAAGGAGATGACCAGCAGCAACCTGCTCTCCAACTGCAAGAGACCCCCTGGATCTCCCCAACCCTGCCCGGCCCCCATAGGCATCCCCCCGAGCAACATCAAGGTGGCCACGCCCACCCAGTCAACTGTGACCACCGTGGCCACCCAGTGGGCCACACCCACCCTGCTCCCCTGAGGGCACCACAATGCTGATGCGGCCCTCAATGAAATTGAGTTTGATACCCCTGGTCTAACTGATCAGCTGTTAGGTCTTCAATGCCAAAATATTCTTATTAAGGCATTAAATTTAGAATTCATCTTGTCTGAACTGAAACTGAATAACTGTCCTTATTAAAATAGGAAAAGGAAAAAGTTATTTTCTTATTTTTGCAATATGTTTATTTTAAAAAAAGAACATTTTTATGCAACTTAGAATCACAAACTGTGAAGAGGAAGCTCATAAATCTTTTAAATAAATAAGCAGTTAATTTCTTCCAAAAACATTTCCCAGGGTAGACAAAATATTCCAAATGTGAGCTAGAGTTAGGTTTAAATTATCATTAGAACTTTGCCAAACCATGTTTCCAGCTAGCTTAGGAAAGTCCAGCAACAATTCAGGAATGCAAAAACAAACAAGCTATATTGGATTTTAATATAAAACAATCAAGTACCTTTCTAAACATCATTATTCAAACCAGTTAAAATATGGTAGCAATAAAATCACATTTTTTTAAAACTAATGCAAATCACAGTATGATCCATAAATTACTAAGCACTAATTTTAATGAGAGATTTAAGCATATTTTTCTTAATTTAGTTTTTCAAGTGTTTTTATTCTGTTAATTGTCAACCAGAATCGTGCATTTAAGATGGGAAACATCCAACACATCTTCTTCCTCCTATTTTCCCCACAACAACTCTGTGAGGGGAGTTGGTCTGAGAGAGAGAGTAACTGGCCCAAGGTCATTCAGGCGGCTTTCATGGCTGAGGCGGGACTTGAACTCATGGTTTCTTGATTTCTATTCTAGACAAAATATTATTTTGCTGATATACAGATTTCCATAGATTTCTTTATTATAGCAAGTCATCTATTTGTGAATTGCTAATTCATGGTGAGCTACTTCAAATCAATAAATTTCTGAGACAAACATAAGACAATTTTATTAAAACATAATTTTAAGATTCTTAAGAGTTAATGCCTAAGCAAGCATTCTTTATTATATAAATCATACAAGTTATTTTGAATGTTCACATTGTTTTTAGCTCAATAACTAGCTTTTTATTAGATAGTCCTTGCTTACCAACTACTCATTCAGCAACCATTCAAATTCCCGCAGTCGTGTGATTGCCAAGTACAACTTCACAAAAGGCTTCTAAGAAGCAATGGGGAAGCCAGCAGGAAGTTGCAAGTCAGACATATGAAGCTGTGCTTAATGACTACAGGTGATTCACTTAACGACTGTAGCTGGAACTGACATCAGAAGTCAGTGTGGTCATACTATGTTTACAAGAGACATTTCCTTCAAGGAGTTTTTTTAGACTGCACCGAAGAGATGGTTACTACACCTCAGAATAGTTAAAAAGATGGAAATCTCAAATAAAACATCTTCATAATTGGATAGAACCACTTGAGAAGCTGCTTGGATGTGAGGAGGAGTAGAAGGTCTGGAGATGTTTAAACAGGCTGCATACTGATCTGACTAGAACCAAAGATTACATTACATGGGAAAATGGGGATTTCTCCTTGAGGATGAGGATATTCCCTGGGAATGTGGCACTATTCAAGCAACTAAACATCTTTTATACTACCCTTTGGGGCTGACTTGCACACAGAATGACTTGCTGATCAGAAATATCTCTGCCATTAAGATGGCCCGGTACTGGGCTAGAACTATATAACTCTATATTTTATTAAAGCTTTTAATTTTGTTTAAATATTAAATTAATAATATCCCCTTTCCTAGTTCCTGCGTTTCTGACACAAGATAAAGATGAGACAAGACATTATGTTTCACTTTCTGATCACATTGCTTAGCCACAGAGTTGGTCAGTCCCAATTATGGTCTGTAAATGAGGACTATCTGTATAGACACAATCTCTCAAGCCTAATTATATATTCATTTAGAAGCACTAAAAGTTCCATTGCATATAAAATAAATTGTTCTACTTAAAAAAAAATACATACCTAGTACTTTCACGGCACAATGCGGACTCTCCAGAGTTACTCCTTCTCCTGTGTCAAACATAGGATTGTCTATTCCAGTCTTGGGAGGAATTTGTGCCAGCTTCTTCAGTCTCAGAGAAGAATTAAGATCAAGTTCTTGTTTTTTCCCATCTTCTTCCCGTCTTCGTCTTAGGTCCTCTTGCTGCTGTCGAATCCGTTCAAGTTGAGCACTCCGCCGCAATGGCATCATGCGGTTGCCCAGATCACCTGGGCAATCCACAGCCATCTCCCTGTGTTTCTGAGATTCTTCGAGAGGTGCAAGATCCATAATTTTTGTTTCGCTGTCTGAATCTTCTGTTACATGTCCATTCATATGAGAAGTTGTCATTGTTCTATTTGAGAAGCTATACAGCTTGTCAGACATAAATTTTATTATAACACTTCTTTTCTTGGTAGTTCCACTTAAAATCCATTATAATGTTAAATAATTCTTCTCATGCATTATGGAGGAAAATGAAAAGATATCTCCAGGAAGAAATCTGAAAAAAAATTAAATGTAGATTATATTAAAATGAATAAAGTTAATGTAGAAAATCTAATTCTTATATTTAATACTGTATGTACCTTAATTTTCTAGAGGAAAACTCTATGTCAAGGTATACCAAATTTCCTTGTTTCCAACTCTCAAGTAAAAAGCTACTTCTATTTAGGGGAACAAACTAAATTAAAATTGGAAAGAACATTCTATGTGCTATAATTAAATTAAAATGGAGAAGCCTCAACTCCAAACTCACTTTAAACCTATGAAAATCTGGAAATGTCTAGGAGAAAATGCATAGAGACACATTTTCAAGTTACCTGTATTTGGATTAGGTGTATGGTATTTTATTTCACAACTGTTTAGTGGCACAGTTTTTGCCTTCATTTTATATATTTCTATGTACAAAAGTTATTATTTTAGGAAAGCATGTTCTGGTACTTATTTAAAATGTGTTTATTTCATCTTATTAATAAAAAGTTTTAAGAGCATTTTTTTCTCTGCTTTCAAACAGATATATCTTTTTTTCTTTGCACATTGTACAAGGAATTTCTAGTTCTGATTATAAAATATTAACACATACAACAAATATTAGACTATGCTTTATATTATGCTATAGGAAAGTCTTGTTTTGTAAATGTTACTTTATCACTGTGTGCTATCCTATCCATTTTATTAATACATGCTGGTTGGCAAAACAAAACCATGGGGATCAGTACAATATAAAAACACTTAATAAAACAATTGCTTATTTATAGCAATCAACTTCCTTTACTCCTATTTGTTTAACAGTTGTTCCTTAGTTTAAAAGGGTGGTTTGTTTTGAAACTTGTACTTGATTTCAGCACATCTTTTATTGTCATCAACTAAATTTAAAATGCATCTCCCTGTTCATGTATTAACGTTACCTTTCTACATTAGATGAAGGACCATATAGTCCACTGTTGGTTTTTAATGGAACATTATCACATGTTCATGGAATAAAAGTGGTGGCTACTATCTGACTGTCCCTTGAGATGTGGCATGTGGTCACACTGCTTCTAGGGACAAATATCGAAATATTATATTTGCTACTATAGCCAATAAATGCTGGCAGCTATTATTTAATATACTACTACTAACTACTAAAACTCTCCTACTTGTATGGGCAAAGCGGTGAATCGCAGGGCAACAATTTAAAACCAAGGTACCTCAAATGGGCTACTTTAAAGAATGCATCCAGAACCCATGACTCATATGGAATTAAAATTTGGCAAATTTTATAAAGCATTTAATGATATAAAATACAAAAGTACATTAGGTCAGCTATTCTTGAAGGCAATGAGGAATCTGGTAAGGAAATATCTCTCACAAAGGGCTTCAAAATATCAAATGAAAACAGCATCTATTAGGCTTTAGCAATAACAGTTTTTGTCATTTTTTTGTGGCAGTAATATTATTTCATCTGTGAAAAATAAAATCAAGTCTCCAGAAGACAAATTTGACTTCTGATGACTATATGAATATGTTTATATATTTTCTCAAAAAACAATATGGAGATAATTTACCACTATATTTACCCTTTTTCCCCACTGCCCTGTGATTGATCAGTAGTCTCTCACTTTTGTAGTTGCCAAATTCAATTCAGGTTAACTTTTAACTTTTTCAGTCTATCAAGATTAGGCAGGTTAGTTAACTTCTAGCTGTCACATGTTGTAATAACTATCCTTTAAAATATGTCCTTGCTGAAAAATACAGTTTGTTGCATCATTTCATGAGTGATGTTTGTTAAAAGTGAATATAATTATGTCAACAGATATAGCCATTTATTTCAGTTCATTTATATTACACCTATTATCCTTGATTTTAGTATAATTTCAGTAGATGTTTTTGTAATAAAATTGGCTTAAGATTATCATCACTAAATAATCTAGTTCAGGGGTGCGAAATGGCCTGAAGTGTCATGCGGTGTCCTGCCACAAGCAACAGCAACGGCCTGAAGCGCTGTGCAACCTCCTGCAGTGAGTAGCGGCACTGACATGACGACCCACACGGCTTGACAAGTGTCAGGGCATGGGAAGCCTGATTGTGGCGGTCCTATACTGGTAAGGTAAGCAGGTGCAGGGCGTGTAGGGCAGCTTCATCCCCCTACCCCCGCCACCAAATAGGGCTTGCTTTCGGGAAAACAGTATGTATTCTTTGTAAACTTCTGAGCTGCATGAGAGGATTTATTGCTTCAAAGCAAATGATCTTCCTATATCAGTGGTGGCGAACCTATGGCACGGGTGCCAGAGGCGGCACTCAGAGCCCTCTCTGTGGGCACACGCACCGTCGCCCCCGTCCTAGGCCTTCAGTTGGGTTTTATAAAACCTTTTCGCTTTAGGCCTCCGCCGCCGTGTGCAAAAAAAAAAAGGTTCAATCAGTCAATTTTAACTTCTCGCGGGAAAAAAAAGATCTTGCAAAGTTGGAATTGATTGATTGAACTTTTTAGTCCCACCCAGTCTGCTGTTACCACTGCAGCCACGCCCACCCAATGGGCCACGCCCACCCAATGGGCCACACCCACCCGGCACCCGACAATGCATAAGTGGGTTTTGGGTTGCAGTTTGGGCACTCGGTCTCTAAAAGGTTCGCCATCACTGTCCTATATACTGTATATATAAGATAATAAAGTGTGCTTATGCTAACAAAATTTGTATAGCAATAGCAACAGCACTTATATACTGCTCCATAGTGCTTTTCAGCATTCTGAGCATTCAGCATATTGCCTCCAACAATCTGGATCCTCATTTTACCTACCTCAGAAGGATGGAAGATTGAGTCAACTTTGAGCCAGTCAGAATCAAACTCCTGGCTGGGGACAGTTAGCCTGCAATACTAACCACTGCACCATCACAGCTCTTTCATTGTATTAAGATGTAATTATAAAACTGATGTATGTAAAAAGCCAACCTTAAGCAACATATGTTCAGCATTCAACAGTTCAAATGATCCTCATGTATAAGCAGTATTTATAGGAATACTATATACTAGTATACTACAGGGCTTTAATTGTATACAGTACCGTTCTTAAACCATGGAATTAACATTTTAAGGTGCCTAGTGACAATTTGGGGCTTCAAGAACTTCAGCTCAAACCTCCTTTGCTCTCACTGTGAGGTCTTGACAAAAGATCATAAAAAGAAAAAAAAACCCAATGTACACTGTTTTCAATATAAAATTTTTATTGTTTTCATCATAGAAAAAAAAAAGAAATACATCACAGATATTACACAATGTTATATC